ACCGCCTCCTCCCCAACGCACGGAACTGGTTTCATCCTACCAACAGCCAGCTGAACAGGCACAACCAGCCTACCAACAACCGGCGTACCAACAACCTCCAGCCCAGCCTGCCCAGCCTGCGTACCAACCGCCGCCGGCTCAGCCTGCTTACCAACAGCCTGGACAGCCGGCCGCTCAGCCAGTAGCCACGCCTCCGGCGTACTCTGCGACGCTAACACCGCCATCAATGCCGGCGCGTCTGCTGGCAGCGTCAGTGGCGACCACGGCCACCACCCAGCTGCTGTATAACCCGCCTCCGCCTCCCGTGAGAACTGCGGCTGCGGTACCCCCTCCACCTGCTCGCAATGAGCCGGCTCAGGAACCTCCAGCAGCAGCAGCGCCTCCGCTGCAGTACGAACAACAGGTGCAATTGAACCAGCAGCCAGAGCAGCCCCAACAGCCAGGGCAATACCAACCCCAGGGACAGGTTCCGGTGCAATATCAACAGCCGGCACAGCCACCAGCTCAACCGGAACCTGCTCAGCCTGAGCAACAGTATGGCCAGCCGGAGCCAGTGCCTCAACAAGCTACTCCCAGTGGGGTCCAGGGAGGGGTCCCGACTCCGTTTGCCGCTGCGAACGCGGCGCCGCCTCGTGCTACGCCAGTGAAGCCCGCGAAGCCCTCGAAGCCGCCTAAACCTGGTGCCAAGCCGCTGTTGCTGGCGACTCCATCATCAGCATCACCAGCATCACCAGCCGCTCCAGTCACTGAAGATACCATGATTGCAGGGCTTCGCGCCAATCTCCGCAAGACTGGGATCAGCAATGATCTGGTATCCACTGTGGGCAGTCAGCCGTCCACTGTGAGCCAACCGTCTAGTGTGCGCAGCCAGGCGTCTGCTTTTGGCAGTCAAGCTTCCGCGCCGCCTGCTGCTGTGCCTACTCCCGCTGCTGTGCCTACTCCCGCTGCTGTACCCACTTCCGCGTCGTTGAAGCCGGTGAAACCACCGAAGCCCGCTCCCCCGGCCAAACCACTGAAACCCGGTCAGCTCTCTAACCAGTCTACCGGGGCATCGGGCACTGCGTTGGCTCCAACGACGCTGAGACGGCTGAATCCGCCGCCGCCGCCTCCGTCCAGAAGCTACCGCAAGTCTCCCACCCCTCCGGCAGTGCCGGCAGCGGCGACGGCGCTGGGCACCTCCACTGACGTTGATCTCGCCCTCGGCACCCAGTGGTACGCTCAGCAACAAAAGACTCCCCCGGCTAGTGTTGCCAGCCTCAACCACAGCTTTCTGTGGCTGCTGCTGGGCAACGACAACCTGCTTACGCTTGACGTGAGACTCCCCGAGTTGACGGTGGCCCACTACACTTTGAGATGGCCGTCGACCAACCCGGCGCAGGTGACCACGAGTGTCACCTATACGCCGTCGCCGCTTGCCATTACGCCGTCGAAGCCGGAACTCATAAACCTGAGCGAGCGCTTTGGCGACTACATCGCGCTGTGGGTGGAGAAGCGCCAGGGGACGGTCATTGGCCGGGGCGAGTGCTGGGACGTGGCCCACGACGCCCTCCGCTACGGGTGCGGCAACCACGCCATGATCACCCAGTACCGCATCCACGGCTACCCCATTCTCGATGTCGCCATCAACGAAGCGGGGCAGATGGTGTACATGGACCCGCGCGGCCAGCTCGATTCCGTGAGACGGGGCGACGTCGTCGAGATAACGAGGGCTAAGTTCCAAGGGTATACTGTCGACAACGAGCACACCGCCGTTGTGTGCTCTCAGGAGAACGGCGTGTTTACTATCGTCGACCAGAGCCAAGGGGTGCCGGTGACACAGCGCGTGCTCGACATCAAGACGATGCTGGGGGGCCGGTTGATCGTGTACCGGCCGATGCCCAAGGAGTGGCTCCCGGAATTGAATGCTCCGGCGGTGCCGGGGGCTGCTCCAATCGCGGTTTAGGGAAATCGTCCTCTACACCAATACACACATAGAAAACCTCTACCTCTTTCTGATCACGCCGACTACTGTTTGTTATGTTTATTGTCCGTTTTGTTTAATCCTGGATTTGGGCCCGAGTCATCGGGATAATGCTTGATTATCTCGTATACGCGGCGCATAAGAAAATACCCCCACTTTGCGACACAGCCACTCCCTCGCGGTGCGCTTGCCCATAACCGCCTGAAACGAGAAAACTGTGGCACGCCCGGAAAAACTGCATGGAGACCATTGGGGGGACTAAATCGAAAAGCCAAGCAATCTCAGCCAAGCACTACGAACCCGTGACCACAACATACGGGGCCACGAGATTACGAGGGTAATTGGTGGCTTGATCTGTCGACGAGGGCGGGGGGAGACAATAGGGGGGAACGAGGCTTCGCCATCACCGGTGGCGGCTGCTGAGGCTGAGGGGCTCTGCCAGTGTCTGCGTCGATGTCATCCAGCTGGGTCTTTGTTCTCAATTAAAGCAAGCACCTGCCGCTATCCTGCACACAGCTGGCGGGTGGCGATAATAAGCCAGTGGGCGCGATCGATGTCGTGACGGTGGGGGATGAGTCTAAGCGAAGAGAAAAGCCTCCTGGGTGAAAGGCTTTGGTGATGATAGGTGGTGGCATGGCAAGGGTGAAATGGCGTCAATCGCGTTTGATGATCGCCATTGTTCTACCCGTCCCCCTACGTCACTACTGCTACTGCGTCGTCTGCCCCCTATGACGTGGATTAGCGATAAAATATCGGGGAATGTGCGATGCTTGTGCGTGTTGACAATGTGCCGGTAAAAGCTTCCGGCCCCGTAATTATCGACACCCCAACCCCGGGAGAAAAACTCAATTGGGGGCCAATTCAAAAAAATCGGCTTCGTCTCGTATTCCTACGTAGATTCCCGAACGCAACCTACCCAGTCGTATTTACGTGGGGGGCGACCAGCCTTGACTAGGTCATACTGCGGCGTAGCTGTCACCCAAATGCTATTGGGAGTAGTAAATTGGTGGAGTCCACTTTGTAGATGGGCGGTGGTTTGGGGGTCTTGACCTGGAGATCGGGTCGAGTGACCCCGCCCGAAAAGGCTAGCCTCGCCATGACGTAAACTGACGACGCCTTGCCGCTAATATACGCCAGTATACGGGAGAGATAAGTAGCAACCGTCCAGTGGTTTGTCAGCGTGATTCACCCTGAAATTGTGATGATATGCTGGTGCTGGCAGCTCGAGGGATGTCGTGGTCAATGGACCGAGAGCATCAATGGCATTAGCTCAGCGCGAATGCAGCCATTGTCGGCGGGGGGCGATTTCACGCCGGCGCCAGCACCGTCTAGTCGCAGTAATGTTTGCTGCTCCTTCTGTACCGGTAACGTGGGCCCAGGCACCCCGCGGGCTCGCAACCAGGGAGCGGAGGAGACATGTCTCATGTATCGTGTTTTTTTAGAAATTGTGCTCACAGGCTCGTTTTTCGGTGTCAAATGGTAGGAACCAGATACTATATCGCCACCGGCAAATCGTTTTGTTTGGTGGCTACCACCATCGGCAGAGGTGCCTTACCAGTGCCAGATCATGGCGGCGGCTGCGATCGTGTCGATCTTTAGCCTCACTAATTAAACATTCTCTTGGCGTCATCGCGCATTACAAGAAAGAAAAAAAAAAAAACAGCTCAGCCCAGCTGCAGTCTGACATCGGCTAGAATCCGTCATCGTTGCCGGTGTGGGGGTATCAGCAGCCAGCAAACGGGATCCCGGGTACCCGGGCAACCCCCCTCTCCGAGAGAATTGATCACGAACCCACACCCGCCGTATAATCGCTCGGTTGGAACACCGCCCCCCTCGCGGTGACGGCGATGTCGTCCAGGGGCGAGCAGGTGGGGTGGTGCCCGTTGACGCTAGGGCCCGCGGTGCCGTACCTGCTCGTTTCAGCTGTCCTCCGCCCGTAAATGCCAGTACGGTAGTCTATTGAGGGGGTTGGGGGCAGGAGGCAGCAGTAGTGCAGTGCCGGTACCACCTCGTGAGTGGATGATCGCGAAATGCATGATAAGTGCATGGCGCTCGTAAATGACTTCGGAACAGCACGTTTAGGGGCACGCTCAATGCCGGTATGACACTGCCTGCCGTTGACGCCACCACCAGATCCCCTGGCGTTAATCTCTGGCATTTGTTTGTAATTACCCTAGTCCCTTTTTCCCCCATGCCTCTAAGCATTGGTCACCGCTCTCTCACCCCTACCTTTGTTGTCGGCTCGGTGCTTCGGTGCCCGCAATTTATTACCGGGGTGCTCGGAGATCCCGCATCCAGGGCTATGCTGTTAATGTCTGTCAGCGTGCACGCCCGCATTTTCCTGGGATACGCAAGCTCGCGGGAATCTTGTGAGAATAATCTTACTTGTCTACTTGTCTACTTGTCGACACTTTTGCCTGGGTGTTTGTTTTTTTCTTGTTGAAGAAGCGTTCCAGCGAAACCTGTGGTGTGTGTGTGCTTGCTGTTGGCCTTCCATACTAGAGAGCTCAGTTTATCAGTTGCGTTATATTATTCTCCAGCCGAGGTGGTGAGTGTCTCCCCCAATAATACATCATCACCTGACACCAGTTGCCCATAAAATCATATCGCTACCAGTGCTACCCTGATGCTGCCACTGCCCCAACGCCGCCTGAAGCGGCTCAAACTCGGCCAGCTGGCGCCGCCGCCGCCGCTGGAGCCGGGCCTGCCCCACTCGCCGGGGCCACCTGAGGCCGTTAGCAGCGCTAATGGCGCCGAGGGCGCCGAAGGAGCCACCACTGGCCCCGCCACCCACGACCCGGCCCTGTCCACCGATGAGCAGTCGCCGTCGCCGCCGGCACCGCTCCATGACCACACGTCCCCTGAAGGCGATGCCAGCAACAAGCCGTCGCCAGAGACTGCCAGCTCGTCCAATTCGCCGGCAGCGGCGCCAGCGCTAGCGCCGATAAAGACCGAGGCGACATCAGCCGGCTTTTCACGAACTAGCCCTCCGCCAGACCCCCCGAGAAAGAAGAACCTGCGCCGGAAACACCGCAACTCCCACTTAGGGTGTGGCACCTGCAAAAAGCGCCGGATCAAGTGTGACGAGAACTTGCCCTCGTGCCACAACTGCCTCAAGGGCAAGTTGCACTGCGCCTACCTCAGCATGGACGTCAACCAGCGCAACCAGCTCCGCATGGCCCAGTACAACCAGCTGCTAAGACAGGAAAAGCTCGACGCCGCCCACGCGGTGGCGGTGGCAGCGGTCAATGGCCTCCCCCCGCCGCGGCTGTCGCTGACCCTGCCGAAATTGGGGCTCCAAGTATACCCGACGCCGGCGCCCATGGCGCCCGGGGTTCCCTTCGCTGGCGCCGCCCAAGTAGGCCAGCCGATCATCGTGCTGACGCCCTACGGGCCTAGTATCGCCACCACCTCGATGGTGACGCCGTCGGGGGCGCCGGTGCCCATCGCCATGCTCCCGCCGCAGGCTGGTGGCCAGGCGGGTGGCCTCTACTACATGCCCGTGATGCAACAACTGCCACCGCCGCCGCCGCCACCGCCCCCTCATCAAGCTCCTCCCCCTCATCAAGCTCCTCCTCCTCCTCCTCCCCCTCCCCCTCAAGCGGGTGGGGCTGTGGTGTCGGCGGCAGCAGCACCCCCTGCTCCCCCCTCGTCGTCGGCGCTGGCGCTGATCCTCGCGGCGCCGGTGCCGCCCACGTTGCCGCCGTTGCGCCCGCCGCCAGCAGTGCTGGTGAAGACGGAGGAAATCAAGCTCCCGCCAATTCAGGTTAAAGATAATAAGGTGCGGGTGTCGAGTTTGCTTTTATAGATTCTTTATTTGATTTTCTCATTAATCAAAAATTGATGTGGTGGTTTTTATTAGGGTTTTGTCTCGCATCCATTTTTTAAATTATTTACTATACATGTATATTGGGTTTTAGACATCATAGAGTAGTCAATTCAGGTAGAGGCAGCGCCAGGGGTACCGGGAGCGGCTTCCTTTTTCTTCTTCTTCTTGTCGTCGACCTGCTCGACCTTGACGTCGCTTAAGCCCTTCTCTTCCAAAAGCTTCTCGATGTACTCTTTCGCTTCATCCAGCACGTCACCTTGGACTAAGATCTCCTCTTTCTTATCAGCAGTCTTACCCAACGATGCGCCCGTAGCAAACTTGGAGGCGAACGTCTTGGCGAGCTTCTTCATGTCGATCTCAAACACCTCGAGCCCCGTGATCGAGATGATGTGCTTGCGCTTGTTACGCTCGATGCGCTTGATGGTGACCTTAGAGTTGAGCTTCTTCTGCATCTCTCTTTCGGCCTTAGCCTCTTCTTTCTTATTCTGTTTGAGCAACTCGTCGGCGATCTTCTGCTGCTTTTCGAGGGAGAGAGTGCTCATCCCTTCGGTGACGGTGTCCCCCTGGAGCTCGGCGTAGAGGTCGGGGTTGTTCAGCTGAAGCCACTCGCTGCACCGCTTCTTCTTGGAGCCAAACTCACAGTACTCAGGCGGGAACAGACATACGCCACAGTAGACGACGGTACGCGGTTGGATGTCGGTCATGGTGGCGTGAGGACGAGTGCGGCTGGCAATACTTATGGTGGAGATGATGGAGCAACACGAAACAAACAGAAAAAATTATGGAAATGATCCAATTGAATGACAACATCTGTCTCGACTTAGTTTTGTATTTAAATTTCACATTGTAATCTAAGCCAAACGGATGGATTGAGTAGGCAGTGAAAGATGCGAGAGTTTCGAGAGTGAAGCACGACATGTCTACTCTAGAATATAGAACATAGAATTACTAGAGTATTTTTATTGGAGAAGTGTTCAAGTCAAATTGAAATCGATTGTCGATCTTAAGCTTTTACTTACAGATGATCCAGTAGTGCTACCTATGATCATCAAGATTTACGATCATCAATGCATTGCTTCTATAGAATTGTAGTAGGTACAATTTGCATAATCATCGAATTAATTCGATAACTATAGGCATCAATCCTGGGGTATCGTAACTGCACTCTCTACATTGGCATGGAGATTGATATTTAACTTCCGCGAGCCAAGGAAAACCCTCTATTGACATACTAAACCCACATACACGATCACTTGAGATTAAGTCATACCCTAATCGAATTTTTGGTCACTTTTGCCGTCGTAGTCGTAATTGTCACCGGGTGTCGGCACTGGGCTCCGCGCCGGTGTCGGTGCGGTCCGCAGCTACCGGTTGGCCCTACGACCACGGAAGTGCTCCCGGAACGGTCGGACCCGAGCCGATACCACTACCCTATAATCATTGAACCTACTCGACCATATCAGTCAAAGTACAGCCTCGTGGCTGAGCCCCCACCACGCATTCTCGCACGGTGTTACTAGCCCGTACCGAATTGTTGCGGCACGGTTATCAGCGACGCTGCGCCGAGATCAGCATGTCTGACACTCTAACCCCGGCCACCGAGAACAGTGGCACCACACCAGATTGACTTTGTAGGTGGCCGTAGAATCATTATATTCCGAGTATAGTCACTTATTCCAGTTTACGAATCCATCAATTCCGGTGTAGTTTACGCCATCTGTAGCGTTACTCCGCTGGGAGTGATCTGGGTTTGTGCCTGCCAGTTGCGATTTTTCGCAAGCCAGCCACCGAGTGGATCCCAACACACACCCTCGACCATCCCGACACACCCACGGCGCCTGAGCAAGATGAGCTCGTTTGAGAAGATCGTCAAGGGGGCGACCAAGGTCAAGGTGGCGGCGCCGAAGCCCAAGTACATCGAGCCCATCCTCCAGGCCACCCAGTACGCCAACACCCACGAAGGCGACGGCTTCAACACTATCATGCGCACGTTGGCCGGCCGCCTCCAGGACCTGGCGTGGTCGGTCGTCTACAAGCTGTTGATCGTCATCCACATCATGATCCGGGAGGGCGACAAGGACGTCACCCTCGACTACCTCCGCCGCCCGCGCAATAACATGTTGAACCTCAGTGGCGCCCCCGCGGTGATGCTGGGCCTGGGCAACAGTCCCGACGTCCGTCACTTAGTCCGCTACCTGAAGTACCTTCAGACTCGAGTCAAGGAGTTCGATCTGACCGATGTTGACTACGTTCGGGACGAGCGCACGAACAACACCACTTTGGGCCAAGGAGGGCGGTTGCGCCACTTGCCAATCGAAAAGGGGCTTTTGCGGGAGAGTGAGCTGGTCCAGCGCCAGATCGATGCGTTGTTGAAGAACTCGTTCGTGGAAAACGAGGTGAACAACGACGTGGTGCTCATGGCGTTCCGGTTGCTTGTTAACGACTTGTTGGCGTTGTTTCAGGAACTTAACGAAGGGGTGATCAACTTGCTCGAACACTACTTCGAGATGCTGAAGCCCGACGCCGAGAGAGCGTTGAAAATCTACACTAAGTTCGTCGACCAGACGAAATACGTCATCGACTACTTGCGGGTGGCCAAGCACTTGGAGTACGCCACTAAGCTCCACGTGCCCACCATCAAGCACGCTCCCACGGCGTTGACCTCGCTGCTTGAGGAGTACTTGGACGACCCCAACTTCGAGATCAACCGTCGCCAGTACTTGGAGGAGAAAGCCCGCAAGGATAGCGGCAAGGACAGCGGCAAGCCTCACCCGAAGATCGCCCAGAAGTTCCAGTCGAAGCTTGAACGCAATAATAGCAGCCACAACCGCCATACCTCGCTCAACGTGCAACAATACAACCCATGGGGAGACGCCGTGGACCGGCAGGTTTCCGGCCAAGCCCCCGCCGCCATTGCCAACAACCCTTACGCCCTGCAATTCGACAACATCGACATTTTTGGTCAGGCTGACCAGCAACAAGCTCAGCAACAAGCGCAATTGCAGGCCCAACAGCAGGCTCAGTTACAAGCACAACAACAGCAGGCGCAATTGCAGGCTCAGCAAACCGCACAGATGCAAGCTCAAGCTCAACAGCAGGCACAATTGCAAGCGCAACAGACTGCTCAGTTGCAGGCTCAACAGCAAGCCCAGCAACAAGCTCAGTTACAAGCTCAGCAGACTGCACAAATGCAAGCCCAAGCTCAGTTACAGGCTCAGCAACAGGCTCAATTACAGGCTCAACAGACCGCTCAATTACAGGCTCAGCAGACAGCGCAATTGCAAGCTCAACAACAGGCACTTGCTCAACAACAAGCGCAACAACAGGCTCAGCAGCAAGCCCAATTGCAAGCTCAGCACACAGCACAGCTTCAAGCACAACACACAGCTCAATTGCAAGCGCAGGCAACGCTGGGTGGGTTCAACTTCCAACCGCAAACGACCACCGCGACTGGGTTCAACTTCACTCTGCAGCCTACAGCGACGTTCACTTCGCAACCGGCACCGCAGCCGCTTCAGAGTCAGACCACCAACCCTTTCCTCAATGGGACCTACACTGGCGCCGGCGCTACTCTGAGTGCTCAAACGGCGCCGCTTGCCAGCCAGGCCACCGGCACCAATCCGTTCTTGCTGATGAACACTGGTGCCGAGCTGAATCCCTTTGCCACACTGCGGTTTAACCCTCAGCTGGGAACCACCGCGTTGTCGTTCCCCTCCAGCAACGGCGGCGCCTTGCGGGCGCTGCTGACGGGCGGTAATCCGTTCCGGGTGCTGACAGCGACCCAGCGTCTTTTTGACCTGAAGACGGGCCAAGCGGTGCCCCAGCTTCGACCCCAGGCGACGGCGGGTGGACTTGAGCACCTCCCTACCGTACCGGTGTTCCCTGAGACACAAAGGGCGGCGCAGCAGCAAATGTACTTAGCGCTGGCCCACCAGCAGTTGCACCCGCTGCAATTTCAACAGCAATTGGCCCAGCAGCCGATCTATTCTAGCTACGACGGGCCCTCGCTTATTTAGCTAATGTATTCACAGTAATGATAGGATTTTTATGCTTAGAAATAAACTCAAATCAAGGCAATCAAAAGATAGAAGGTAGGATTATGGTAGAGAAGCTCTATTGACAGTTTGAGGTTGAATTTTTAGAAAAACTAATCATTTAGCACTGTGGGATTTATGAAGATCATTGACGCCACCGACAAAATTCGGTGACAAAATCCACTCCAAAAAACATTTCTGAATATCTAGAATTTGGTTAGTGAACGACCTTTTGCTAGGATAGAGGATGACACGACTTTATTTTTTTTAAAACGTGGTGGCAAGGGAATTGAGCTCATCATTAAAGCTTATAAAGGTTCTTAAAATCAATGGTTTAGACCTACTATCATTTTACGTCAAAACTTATTGCTTTGGGAGCGCCTATGGTGTCTGCCCATCGATTTTGCTCGAGTGCAAATTTTATTGAGTTGACAATGCATTGTACTAGCTTCGGTTCGAATCACAAGCTTCAAAGTCATCTAAAACGATCACTCGCTGCCATGGTTTGCTATTCACTCCTAATTTTTCAAGCTTTCAAAGCTCACATGGGCTTTTACCTCCTCATCCAACGAGAATTACTAGTACTCATGATCGTTACTGAAATGTCAATGATTTAGTTCAAAGGAAATCATTAAATGACTCGATCCAAACACCATCCAATTGCTCAAGTTGTGACTGATGATGGCTTTTTCACCCAAGCCCACTATGCATCATCCCACTTACCAGTTTATCTCGCCGTGCAGTTCGTTGCTGATCGCTGTAGCAATTACGGTGTACCTCGGCACCGAGGATTGAAACCCGAAAGCTGACTCATTTTCAACTCCATTCCAATAACACAAAGACTCTTCGAATATATTCAAAGCCACGCTTATAACAGATTAAGTTCAATTAAATGCTATTTACCTCTCGGCACACGCCTACATTCAAGCATCATTATTAAGGGAACCGTAAGCATAGGACCCACACTGGTAAAATCCCCCAGACCTCAGTCCTCTTGTTCGGTATCCCATGTCCCATTATTAGTAAAATGACCACTGCTTGTGTTCACATATCAATCATATTAATACAGCGTTGTCGCATCAATTCCGCCAAGGTCAAAAGTCGGCGAGCCATATCTGCTTGTCGTAGTCTTCAGTGACGGCTTCGTCTTCACCGTACTCTTGCTGCCACCGAGTGAAACCGCCTTTAAGCACGAAAACACGCAACACTTTGAGACGGTCGTCGGAGCTAGCGGCATTAGCCCGCAAAAACTTCAACGTACACAGCGGCCCCCGCACCTGGCTGAGGGCACAGTGGAAGACGACGTCAGTAACGCCTCTGTCCAAGAGCTCCTGCTGGAGCTCGGGCAACCGGGCCTCGAACTCAGCCGCCGGGTAGTGCAAGCAGCCGCGTATGTGGCCGCCGACATAGTCCAGATCCCGCACGTCGACAACGGCAAAGGAGCCGTTGGGCAGCCCCTGGTCAAACCACAGTCTTAGGGTGGGGGCACTGATGTACTTGATGTCGGCAAGGTTGTAGGACATGTTGTTGCCACCACGGGTTAAAGTACGACGTTGCTCGCAAGTAGCCCGGTGGGTGCTCGTCCTGCACACAGTCAGTGAGGTGGCGCTACCATGACTAACCTGCCACCGATTACCGTTTAACTTTATCACGCCGCCGCTTCCGGGTCTAGAACATTGGGTGTAATAGCGGTGATTGATGCCCGCAACTAAGGTGACAACAGGCGCCGTTCTGAGGTTAACCCCACCGTGTGTCAGCGCCAACCGCCGCTCGCCCCTAAACATGCTGCCGCCGCCCCTGGCGTCATCGGCGCCCGCCGTCGTCAGGTGTCGTCGCGCTGCTAATGGCAAGTAGCGGCGGGCGCCGAGGAGGTGCGCCATCGTCGACGTTTGGGTGGGAAATGCCGCCGGCGACTGCCCCCACTGTAGCCTAAACCGGGCAAACAGGGCTATGGTGGAACTGGTGGTGGCTGACCTGGTCATGAGCGTGGGCGTAGATAACATCGGGTGACGGTTGTTCGAGTAGCACAAGGGCTGTTCTCGGTTTGCCCGGGGCTATCGGAGGGGCACGATCGTCAATTATCGCGATAATGCGGGCTCGCGTCATCGACTAGATTTCCCACACTTTTCAATGAAGTTATATGCAGGATAATTCTTGGCTTCGAGGAAAGCTAATATTGATATACTCCCCAAGGCTAATGATGAGTACTACACTTTATAAATCTTTGCTGCTAGATTACAAATGTTTCAAATGATTTTCGAAGAGGTTTACAGAGAGTTTCCAAGTCTATTCGTGGTCATTAGTTAAGTAGAGTCTACTTGCCGTACACCGTCTCAAACAGCTGTTCAAAGTCGGCGATGATGTCGTCGATGAACTCGGTACCCACCGACACTCTGATCATACCCTTGTCGACCCCCAGCGCCGCCTTTTCCTCGTCGGTCAACTGCTGGTGAGTGGTGTACCAGGGAGCGATAACCAACGTCTTCAGGTCACCGACGTTGGCCAAGTTCAGCGCTACCTTCAAGTTGTCAACAAACTTGGCGGCAGCTTCTTGGAAGGGGTCTTCGGTGGGGGTGTCCAAGTCCTTCACCGAGAAGGTGAGGGCACCACCGTAGTTGTCCTTATTGTTGAGGTACTTCTGGGCGAGCTGGTGGGTGGGGTGCGACGGCAACCCGAGGTAGTTGACGCTCTTGACGCGGGGGTGCTTTTCCAAGTACTGGGCGAGCTTGAGCCCGTTGTACGACTGGCGGTCAACGCGCAACGACAACGTCTCCAACCCTTGCAACAACAAGAAGGCGCCGAAGGGGTTGAGGGCGGGACCAAGATCACGCAACAACTCGATACGGACGTGGCCGATGAAGGCGGCGGCACCCAACGCTTCCGAGAGCACGAGCCCGTGGTAGCCTTCCGACGGCTGCGAAAATTGAGGGAACTTCTCGGGGTACTTGGTCCAGTCAAACTTACCCGAGTCGACAATGACCCCGGCGATGGTGGTACCGTGGCCGCCAATCCACTTGGTGGCGGAGTGGACGACGATGTCGGCGCCGTGCTTGATGGGGTTAACCAAGTAACCACCAGCACCGAAGGTGTTGTCGACAACCACGGGCACCCCCTTGTCGTGGGCGACCTTAACGATGGCCTCAAAGTCAGGGACGTTGTACTTAGGGTTGCCGATGGTCTCGAGGTACACCGCCTTGGTCTTGTCGTCGATGGCGGCGGCGATCTCGTCGACGTTGTCGCTGTTGACGAACTTGGTGGTGATCCCCAACCGCTTGAACGCCACCTTGAACTGGTTGTAGGTACCGCCGTAGAGGTACAGCGACGACACGATGTTGTCGCCAGCGTGGGCCAACCCGGCGATCGCCAAGAACTGGGCCAGCTGGCCCGACGACGTGGCGAGGGCGCCGACCCCGCCTTCCAACGCGGCGATTCTCTGCTCAAACACGTCGTTGGTGGGGTTCATGATTCTCAGGTAGATCATCCCGGGGACCTCGAGGCCAAACAACTGGGCGCCGTGCTTCGAGTCGTCGAACACGTACGAGGTAGTGGCGTAGATGGGGGGTGCCCGGGCGCCGTGGGGCTTCTCCACGGGCTGGCCGGCGTGCAATTGGAGGGTGTCAAAGTGAGACGGAGCCATTTTTACGGTGAAAAAATACGCGGCGGGTCAGCGGCTTTATATGATGGGCCCAGACAATAATTCTATTCCGGACCGGGGGTATGAGTTGATGTCACGTGGTCTGAGGGAGCGCTCAAAACCCGGGGCAAACGCCTCCGCTAGCGCTAAAGCGTGTGTGGGGTGCGCGCGCGCGCGCCTTTACCGGGGATACGCCCTTTGTTGGAAAATGGTTACGCCGCGGCTGCCTCACTACCGGGGGTAGCGACCACCGGTTACCTCCTGCACAGTTTGCACCAACACTTCGCTCGCTTGGTCGGTGTTAGCCACTGTGGCTCGCCAATATCTCGCCATACCTCTGGAGGATATCGCCATCAACCGCGACGCGGGCGATGAGGGCGCGGAGCTTGACCACGTCCGCCGCCGCCAGTGCCCCCATCTCCACCACGATCCAGGCGCAGAAGAAGAAGAAGAACTGGATCTGGTCCAGCAAGTGGGCAAAGTAGTCGTCGGACACCGTGTTCACCATCAGAAGCGCCTGCTGGGCGTGGGTGAGCACCTCCTGGCGCCGCTCGCCCGCGAGCCGGGACAACATGTACCCAAGCTTGTCCACGGCAAAGAGCTCCAGCGTCACGTCGTAGTTCTCGGCCTTGAGCTTCATCACGACGTGGCAGAAGTGGAACGTCGGCTGGACGAACTCGAGCTGCTGGAGCAGGAAGAGGTGCGACCACAGCCCGTGCCACTCGTTGACCTTGTGTGACGGGTAGTCCTGGCCCTCGGGGCCCTGGAGGTAGTGGTAGGCAATGGCGAGAATCTCGATCTCCGAGATCATCCGCCCGTCAAAGTTATTGACTCCAGGAAGGCTCAAGGTGTCGCGACAGCGAGGGATAAGCCGCCGGAAATCAACCATTCCGGGGCGCCCGCTGAGGATACAACTGGCCAAGTGGATGAGGCAGAGGTGGTTGTACACTCGAAGATGAGTGATACCTTCGTTTTCCACGTCAAACGCCTGAGAGAACGGCAGTCTCCCCGCTTGAGGTTGGTCGCCAAACGAGTGGAGCGCCATCAGCGCCGCCAGCATAAGACCAGCGAGACCAATGCCACTAAGGTACCACGGGTCCAACGTATTGTGGACATCGTCGCCGACGCCAAGGCGGCTAAGTGTAGTAGAGAGTGATACCGAGTAAATCAGTAAAAGCGTGAGCGCTTGTAATGTTCCAAGGGTACTGGCTCGCCACAGCGGCTGAGACAACGCGTTCCGGAGCTCCTCCACAAGCCGCTCGCCGACTTTCTGGTAGGTGTCGTGGTTCGTTTCATTGACCAAGTAGCGCATGGGGAGCACTAAGCACGTATACAACAATAGCGTCAGGCCCAGCTTAAGCGCCGAAAGCATCGCCCCGGCGCCGTCATTGCCATCGGCGCCAGGCACCGTCTCTAACGATACCCACCGAGGGTAGTTATTCCGACTGAACACGCCAATTAACTTTAACGCCTCGGCATCGTCAATTTCGGGGAGGTCATCAAAAACCTGAGACACTTCGATCCCCGATACCATCCTCAGTATGGGGCCCAAATCGTGCGCTGACAGCGCTACCAGGTACGGCGATAGCACAAACGGTTTCAGCGGACTGGTAAGGTCGATACCGTCATTCGCTGACGGCAGCGACGGTGGCGCCATCGTTTCGTCGGGGATCCCGGGCTGCAAAATCGCCAATATCTTATCCACCAGCAGTTGTAAGCCCGCAAGCCGGTCCGCCGTCGCCTTCAGCTCAGGCGTAGTGCCAGCGACATATACGTCGCCAGTGATCTCGTGGGAGCACCGCCGTTTAAGCACCAGGCAGCGGAGACACCCTGCCAGGTTCGCCTCTCGCATGCATCGAGTCTTTAGCCGGCGACACAGGTCGCAGGCGACGAGCGCTCGCGTCACCTGGGCGATTCGTCGGGTTGACTTTGGCGACCGCTTATCTTCCACCATATCGTTTATACGCCGCGGGCAAACGGCGGTGTTATATACAAATGCGGGGTGTTATCGCGCCTGTCGCTCTCGCTATCTCGGGTGCGCGCGCGCAAGTGGTGCCCTCTGACGAAAGAGAGTTTTCTGGTGACATAATCGATAACGCATTTTGTAGAATGTAAACTATAGAAAGTGTCCTCATCAGAGCTTGGTGGAGGTGTCCGACACGTGGTTGTACACCGTCGTTTCGAAGCGGCGGTAATACTCAAGCGAGGGGCCGTCAAGGTAGGGGAGCAACTGCTGGCCCCAGAAGCCGGCAATCCCATTCTTATAGTCGATCCAGTAGTACAAGTTGCCGATACCCAGCCAGTACACTGCCCCCTGAGGCCGTCCCAGAGGCAATTGGACACCATTGACCCCGTGGCCAGTGAGCGAGAAACCGTCGAGCGGAGCGTCAGCAGGTAAGTCCCAGCCGGCGTCGTTCATCATCGTCAGTACACCCAAACCGATAGGTAAGTGGTTTTGCATGGCGTACCTCATCGTCGACTTCTTGATGATACGCGTGCCTTCAGCCGTCTGCCCGTCGTTTAAGTAGATTCTCATAAACTTCAAGTAGTCGCCGACGGTCAGCCAGCACCCCTGGCCGCCCATGTCCTGTTCAGGCACCTTCAACGGGTACTTCTTGAGCCATTTGACGTCGCCGTTGCCGCCACGCATGTGGAGCTTGAGCGTAGTGTAAGGTTCAGTGAAGTAGAACGTGGTGTGGTCCATATGCGCCGGCGCAAAGATCTCCTTCTGCAAGAACTGGCCCAACTTCATCCCCAGCACCTCCTCGATGATCACGCCTAACCAGTCGATATTGTGGCCGTAGGCCCACTCAGTGCCTGGTTCAAACGTCAAGGGGATCTTTTCTTGACAGAAGTAGGCTCTGGTGGCCTGGAGACCGTTAACTTCAGGCCTCACTTTGGTGAGGGCCATGTACACTGGGTGCAAAAACGAGTACGAGAACCCTGCGGTGTGGGTGATCAAGTGGCGGATGGTCACCGGATTGTTGGGCTTCTTCGGGGGTAGCTTGATTTCGCCGGTTTCCAAGTCCACCAGCTCCTCGTCGAGGATGCCAATGTCGCCGATCAACGGCAAGTACGTCAGGGCGGGGATATCGAAATTGAGGAGCTTGCGGTCGTAGAGGATCAATGCCCCCATTACCGTCATCGCCTTGGTACACGAGAACAAGTATAAGCGGTCGTCACGGCCGACTTTGGCCTCGGGGTGCCCCACTTCCTTGATCCCCAGCGCCTCGAGGAAGAGCGTCTTTTTGGCATCGGTGACACCAGCAATTACCCCGGGCATCGTGTTGGGGTTGCTGGTGGCTTCGTTGAGCACTGTCTTAAGCTCGGAAACCAAGCCCTGTTTGTCGACAATCATGGGTGTGTGTGTGTGTTCGTACGTGGTTCTACAAATCGCCGGAGGCTCGGCAAGCGGCTAACCGTCAAGTGCGGGGGACTCGTACTGCACTTAGTTTTCGGTGGGGCAGGGAGTACAGTGCGATTACGACGAACACATGCCCCAGGAGATACCGGCCACCACCCCCACAATCTAAATACAAAATAACTTCTAGGAAAACTATGGCAGTTTCTTCTTCATTTCTATTGTAATTAACTCTCTTGTATACTACATTCTTTTATGGAATTAGTGGCAATCTCCGCTTTTGAAAATCATATGAATGTCTGGCTTTACACGTGTCAGCGATGGTAGGTGGGGTACCACGAAACTGTAGCCCGACCTAAATCTTGGCCTTCAGTTTCACTGCCTCGTATACCGACTTCTCAAAGTCAATGTAATTGAGAATCAGATACAAGTCGCCGAACGGCATCAACTGCTCGGCCCAAAACCCGCCGACCCCATTGGTGAAATCGATCCAGTAGTAGAGATTGGCAAACCCCAGCCAGTATATCAGGCCCTTAGGTCTGCCGGTGGCGTAATTGGTAGTATTGTAGGCATTTCCAGTTAATGTAAACCCATCAGCAATGAGCCCCTTAGGAAGGTTGACTCCTTCAATATTGGAGAAATCAACTCTGATCCCCGGGGGAAGATGGTTGTGGATCGCGTATTCCACTGTAGCCCGTGATAAGATGTTGGCTCCAGTATCGGGACTGGTACCATAGTTAAGCCAAATGCGAATAAACTTTAAGTAGTCTTCCACAGTGGAAAAGCCTCCCTGACCACCCATATCTTGAGGCGGGTCGCGAGGAGCCTGGTACGCGTTCATCATCGTCACTTTCTTGGTGCCGGGAGCCCGTTTGTGAATCTTTATGAGGCGAGACGTGTCGTGTAGGTGGAAGGTGGTATCGACCATGCCCGCTTTCAGATAGACATTATCATGAAGGAACTCTCCGAGTCGCTGACCCAGCACTTCTTCAATCACAAGCCCCAACCAGTCAATGTTGTACCCGTACATCCATTGCGTGCCTGGTTCGAATAAGAGGGGGATATTGCTGGTTGTAAAGAACGCCCGGGTGGGATTGACGGTGGAGTCACCAAGAAACTTCCCCTGAGCGAGTCGGAAGTAGTCTTTACTGAGAAACGCGTACGAGAACCCCGCAGTGTGGAGCATAAGTTGGCGCACCGTCACTTTGTTCACTGGCCTCTCGGGAGGGTAGATGAAACTACCGTCATCCTTGTTCACTTGGCCTCGGTCGATTTTGCCTATCTCATCAATCATCGGCAAGTAATTGTTCACGGGGACGTCCAAGCGGAGCTGGCCTCTTTCGTACAAGATCAACGCCGCCATCGCCGTCATGCTCTTGGTACATGAGTAAAGACAGAACTGGTCGTCGTCTCTCACCACCGACGACGGGTCGTTCATGTCTCGAAGGCCGTGGCCGTGGATAAACTCGGTTTTATCGGTGGTGGTGACCCCTGCCACCACCGCGTTGATCAACGGCAGTTTTCCCGACGTGATGCGCTCGACGAGTTTCTTGGTGTGCCGGGAAAGCTTCTTGGATGCTCGAGGTTCCATCGCTGCGGTTAGTGGCGCATCTGGCGCCGTTCACATTAATCGGGACTCTGGCGATATCACATGCCCCGACACCCGTTGCTGCGAACAACTCCGCGCGGGGTCGCACAGTTCAATGACGCTGTCAAAAGAGTCCTAAGCTAAGGAAATGGGGAACACAGAATCGTAAATCATGCGAAAGAACTATTAAAACTAGGATATGGAGTCCCAGATTTACTCGTATCTGTCAAGCTTTTGTGGGTTGCACTCATGATGATTTCGGAAGTAGTAGTAGGGTTGAGATGACGAATGATAGTAATGTAGTGTCTACAAGTTGGTCGTCATGACTGGGTGGGGTGATCCTCCCAGTCTCTGGTGTGGTCGACTGCTACAAGCCTGAAATTCATGTAATGACCACCTTTATTATCTTCTCACTATACAAACTATAGCCAGAACATCCTCTAACTGGTAGTCATTCTCATGGCTGTCATCATCCGCTTTGGTGGATGGTGAGAGCGTTCTCGAACACATTTCGATTGCTTGAGTAGTCTTTCTAATCTCGAACGTGCGTGGACGTGGCTCTTTATAACGGATAATGCCTGTCCTGTAAGATGTCAGAAGCTGAGTTTGAGGCAAGCATTATATGCTGAATCGAAGATATTTGCTAAACTGTTTTGTAAGTGAAATTTGCCTACGGTATCCATTTGACTCCAGAAAAAAGCTTGAAATCAAAACCCTTCCATTGGTATAGAAACAATCGTGGCGAAATCAGTGGATTAAATTTATTGCTTGGCCTGTCATAGACTTGTCAAATAAGTCCTGTATATACTTTTCCGGGCTCGTTGTCAAATCCTGCATACACTTTTACGCTGCACTCGTCAAAATTATTTCAAATAAAAATTTCGAGTTCAGCAATACTTTGAGTTCATGACGTAATCTTTTCCATCTAGCAGACAGAAGAATCGTTCTGTAAGGCTTATAGTTTTGATAAGAAAGGTATAACTGCTCGTCTAAGTAGGATTTTTGTATTCAGGTGCAGCGCGAGAGATGGACAAGACAAGTGAATTGCCTGCACACAGTAGTTCCGACTGCATGACATATGTGAACTTCTGAGCGAATGTGTTCACAGCTTATACTACACTCAAGAGAAGAATAAACAACACCACCGTGATGTACACGACTGAAATAGTATTAATGAAGGTTAATGGGATTTATCTGAATTTTTCATAATTTTTCTCCGAAAAACTAAAAAATGTGTTATAAAATCGGAAAAAATCGCTAAAATCAAACCGATAGCTCCATTAAATTCTTTGGCACTGGAAGTATATTTGAGGTGACTTTGGGTGAGTTGACGTCAAAACTGGTGGGTCTGAAGGAGGTTTTGTACAAAAAAAAAAACTTTTTTTTTTCTTGCAAATTTTTTCCTGCACTCCTCTGGGTTTGAAACGTGGCCTATTACATCTAGTGAGCATTGAAATTACCTTGTGATGTTCGTATCAATGATGAGAGAGGTATAACACCTAGTCTAGATCAATACCTATATGCAGGTGCAGGTGCGAAGATGCAAGACTTGACAAGGTGAGTTAAAAGGCGCACTTACAGAGCTAATAATTCAAATTTCCCAGCATTGATATGGTCTCAAAGCACGTATATAATTGGTGGTGGGTTAAAGTTGGTGTTGACATCAATGCTGAGATAAATATCATGCTTTCAAGTTTTCAGTTCTGCACACAAGCATTGCATGTGCATATAGTCCACAAACTTTCAATCAGGTTTTTCATCACGTATATGACGCCCTAGAAAGAATTGAAATACACCATTATAGAGTATGCGGTGCTAATAGTATTTACAACAGCAAATGGGATTTTTCTGAATTTCCTCAAGAAAAACTTCAAAGTATGATATAAAATCAGAAAAACTTGGTACAGACTTCCTGTTTGCTTCATAAAATTCTTTAACACCAGAAGTATAGAAGATAAATATCTGGGCAAGTTAACGTGAGTTTTAAGCAGAACTAGCAGAGTAGGAGAAACATCTCGAAAACAAAGTCAACAAGAATGATCTTTTTGCTGTGCACTTATCGTTGGCATCTAAAGTTTTGCTGGTGTAAGTTTGCTTGAGTTAACGTTAATTTTAAAGTAGTTTCAAGAACAGCACGTACGAGCATTATCCTGCAGAATGGATTATTGTATGCAGTACACACGACAGTAATGGCGCTATCAGTTGCAAGTCGTGAGCGGGTCAAGAATATTACTACCAACATGATTTTGATACGCCTTACTATTGGCTGCAAGACTCTCATTGAGTTGAGTGGAATACCGGTATACGTGACATGCTTCCATGTGCGTCTTCAGTTTAAACCTGCATGTAGAGAAAACTTTTCATTCTGAACGTTTATCGTTAACGAGACAAGTTAAGTGAGGTCTGATATCTTTCCATGATTTACACAATCCAAACGTGTATGTAATGTTAACTAAAACATGTTTTTGAAGGAAAACATTCTTGAAAAAAAAAAAACTTTTTCTTTTGGTTTTTTTTTTTTCTTTTTGTTTTCATCTTCTAGTTTCTCTGTTTCGATTCCATGAACTTGTGACGAATCCAGTGCCTATTGGATGCTGCTTCCGATGGTTGCAGGAGTATATCACTCTGATGAAGCTTTTCATGGATGCACCTTCAATCGTATGCAAGACTCATTTACATGCAGGACTGCTTGAGATTGAGAATAGCTCGTCAAATCCTGCATAAAGTATGATACTGGGACATGCACAAGTGTATGTAACTTGCTATCGCCTTGTAAGTGGAGAGTGGTACAGTAGTACGAGGTACAACAAATGAACTTATTGCGTACCCTTTGATTTACCAGTGATTGGAAATAATTATCTTAACACTGAGCTAAATTTATTGAAGTTGCTTCTTTGGAGATGCGTTAGACCGTTTTAGCTTTAAACTTAAATGCAAGAGTGCTAATAGCTAAAAGTGTTAGTCCATCCGTAAGCAAAAAATGCGAAGTCACCATAAATAGGCGAAGGTTTCATTATTCACATCTATTGTAAGTATCTACGTACAGGTCTATTAGGAAGTACGGTTCAACTTTTTAGTGTATGCCTCCTTGGCAAGCTTCACCAACGAATCCAATTCTCCAGAGTTTTCGCACATCAGGTAGAACAACGAGTTGTGGTTGGTGATCAACACATACGGATTCTCGTACTCCACCACCTTCCCTTGATCCATCACTAAAATCTTATCGTAGTCAATAATGGTACGCAATCTGTGGGCAATAGTCAAGATCGTCAGCTGGCCAAACTCTTCTCTGATGGTATTTTGGATCATAGCGTCCAGCTGATAATCAATGGACGAGGTGGCTTCATCCAAAAGCATCACCTTAGGGTTTTTAAGCAACGACCGCGCAAGACACACGAGTTGACGTTCACCTTGCGATAAATTGGACCCGCCTTCAGCAATAGGGTTATCTAAGCGCAAAAACTTGTTCTGGTTCTCCTCAGGGGAAGGGGAAGCGCCACGCGACAGCAGGCCTACTAGCAATTGTTCTTCAGGAGCGATCAAGTTTACGCGTCTAAGAGCTTCAAACATCTGGTCGTCGGTGTACTGGTCAAATGGGTCCAAGTTGGAGCGGATCGTACCGGTGAAAAGCGTGGGATCTTGAGGAATGATAGTGATAGCTTTTCTCAAGTCTTTGAGCCCAATGGTCAGAATATCGACACCGTCAATGGCAATCAGCCCCAGCTCGGGGTCCAAGAACCGGAAAAACGCAGTAATGATGGTCGACTTCCCGGCACCGGTACGTCCGACAATGCCTACCTTGTTGAACGGTTCCACGGAGAACGAAACATTTTTGATCACCTGAGGCAAGTGGGGAGCGTATCGCAACGATACGTTGTTGACGTCGATTCTCCCCTGTTGCGGCCACAGCGCTGGTGGCTTCGTCTCCTCAATCTCGTAAGGAGGTTCCTGGTCCACATCCATGTATTCTTGCAATCTTTCGACGGAGTTCATGTTCATTTCCAAATTGGCATACATCCGCACGATCCACAACGCCAGGTCGGAGAAGGCAATGGCGTACAGCAACAGTAAACCGGCAAGACCGGCGTCCATTTTGCCCACGGACAACATGACGAAGATACCCAGGAAAAGCATCACAAGCGAACCCACGGCATCCACCCGGAACAGCAACCATCGGTTGTCGACCCAAAGGTAGAAAAATGGCTTATTGTTCTCGTCAATGGCCTCCAAGTTCTGCACCATGAAGCGAGGCTCCACCCCGTAAGCTCTGATCGTCAGTACCCCAACAAGCGTCTCTGAGAAGTGTTGGTGGATGGGCAGCTTGGTGATCAGCTCAAATCGCTTAAGTTCACGGGAAAGGGTGATGTAGAAGTAGCCAACAAGGTAGTAAATAACCAGGATGAGGATCGCGAAGATGAAGAATCCGGGAGTGATGACAATGATGAGGACAAAGATCAGGAGACATTGGACAACACAGTTGAAGACACCTTCGGCAAAGGGAGTGACTTCTTGGTCGACCAGCTCCATATCCTTAGAGAATCTGTTCATGATACGGCCAATGGGGGTCTTGTCGAAGAACCGCAAGTTGGCCCGAAGAATACGTTGAAGCACTTCTCTAAACATCCGGTTGGAGGCTTTGATCCCCGCAAAGAACGTCACAAACACACGCAACGACGCCATGAAGGCGTAAATGAACCCGAGCAACCCGTAGACGGTGATATAGTAAATAGTCGAGTGATTGTCCTTCCACAGTTGCGTAGTTCTCATGAAATCGGCTACCACCACCATGGCGTAACCGGCCATACCGAACTCACCGCGGGCAGCCCGTTCACTGTTCATCAGCCATACACGCAACCACCACAGCTGAGTCATAAACAACCCCTGAGCGAGAACGAAACACCCCAAAATCGAAAACCAGGTCCAGAAGCCACCAAGATATTTAGCGAAACCAAGGTAAACATCGACACCGACCACACCTTCAGCCTTGAACTCTTCTTCCACCAATTTACCATCTGCTTCAGCTTCCGCTTGGAGAGCGGTAGCTTCGGCTTCGGCTTCGGCGGCTTCAGTCACAGGCTGGTCTTGCAGAGCCAACTTCTTCAATTTGTTTTCGATAGCTTCGGCTTTAGCAGTCAAGTCGTCCTTAGTCATTTGTTTCAAGTCCACGTGGGAGGCGGTACGCAGTCCCAGTTGCAGCGAGATCACCAGCAGTTTCACCAATTCGTCGTCCCCCAAGTCGCCCAGAGTGAGCAAGTCGGAGGGGGTACCTTGAGCCTTGACTCTACCGTTGTCGAGGGCCACCACCCAGGCGGCTTCGGCAACCGTCAAAGCGACGTTATGGGAAACAAGAATACAGGTACGGTTAGCCATCAACGGACCGGTGATACAGTTTTCGTAAATCCACAACGCGGTGTGCGAGTCCACCGCCAGCAAACAATCGTCGAGCAAAAGAGTCTTCGAGTTCGAGTAAAGAGCGCGAGCCAAAGACACACGTTGCTTTTGACCACCCGAAAGAGTGATCCCCTTCTCCCCGATTTCAGTAGCATCACCGGCACTCAAAATTTCCAAGTCTCTCTTGAGACCACACGCTTCAATGACGTCGTTGTACCGTTTTTGGTTGAACGGAGCGGCGAAGATGATATTGTTCTTGATGGTATCGTTAAGCAACCACGGAAGTTGCGAGCAGTAAGCCACCGACTCGGTGAGCCCTGTGGCCGGGTCGATTTCACAAAGGTGGCGAGCTTTAGCTCCCGGGAGGAACACCTTCCCTTGAATCAAGTCCATTTCACCAAGCAACGCCAACAAAAGCGAGGTTTTACCCAGCCCGGTGGCCCCGATGACCACGTTCAATTGACCCACTTTGAAGCTCACATCCAAATCACGCAACTTGAAGTCGTTGTTGTGGTTGTTGACGTTCCACGAGAACAGCGCCTGTTCGAACCCAATCTCAGGAGAGTCCGGACCTCTCGATTGCAGCAATTGGTCGTATTTAGTCAGTTCCGGCTCGCGCAAGAAGTCGTCGACTCTGTCCAACGACACCTTCAGCTGGATGACAAATGCGGTCATGTCCAGCAACTGGTCCAAGGGGGTTCTCAAAAGAGTGAACAACGAGAGGGCGGTGAAGGCGACGGGGGCAGTCAAGGGGTTACCAGCAACCACGGTGTAGCAGTAGAACGACACCAACGTCACCAAGGTGGGGGTGACGAACCACACCAACGAACCAATACACCAGGCGATGGTACGCAACTTCAAGTAGTACAATTCGTTGCGACGGATGTCCATCACTTGGTCAGCAAACTTGTCTTCCCAGGCAAAGAACTTGATGATCCGAATCAGCTGGAACGTTTCGTTAAGCTTTTGGATCCGCTGGTCGGTCACTGACAACATCTTCTTTTGGAGGTTAGCCCCCCAAGTGGCCATCTTGTACAGCACGGGTAACAACAAGATGATCATCAACGAACCGACAAGAGCAGGCCAACCGATGAGGCCGTACAAGAGCCAGATACAAATGATGATCATGAAGATCAGCCCGACGAAGAAATGGAGGTAGCCACAGATTTCCAGTACTTTGAAGGCGTCGATGGCCATCAAGTTGATAATCGCCCCCAAGTCGGCCAGTTTCTCGCTGTCTTTCTTTTCCTTTTCCAACACTTGTTTAACGTCGTCGTTCTCATTGGGAGGAGCATCCTCAGTCTCCGCCAGCGCCACCCGTCTCCGCAACGCCTTTGCGTACACTTCACCGATGATGATCAGCTTCATCCGCAAACACACCCGGCGCCCGATGAACAACAGGCACCCCAGCGACGTCAGGTCAATAATCTTACAGATGGGCATCAACAACACGAACGTCCACGCCAATTGGCGGGAGTTTTGCTCAGGGTTGTCAACGTACTCCAAGATACGCTTAAGCAAGAGCGAGGGGATAAAGATGAGCACCCCTTCAAGCGCCGCCCACATCGCCTGGACAAGAAGCAAACCCTTGAAGTAGTAGACAAGCTTGGTGGGGAAACGCCATTTCTCAGGCAATTCGTTAAACTGTTTAAGCGTGGGTAACGCGTAGTCGTCGCCTCTAAGCGCCCAGATCTCCAGCTTTTGCAACGTGTGCTTAGTCAGGAGCCACACCATGGGGTCGATCCACGAGTACAGCATCAACAGGAAGAGCGACAGCACCGGTTCCGGCGACGGAGTGGTACCGTCGTCAGGCACATACACGAGAGAAGGCTTATCGCCGACCTTAGCACTGAAATTAAGACAGAAAAGTACAAACTGAGCCACGGCGGTGACTTGCCAGTACCACCGGGTGTAGTGGTTCATCTTGTGCAAGAACAGCGATCTCATCAACACCAATTGGAAGGGGAATAGGAGGAGGTAGGCCGTGGTCAGGTGCACCCAGAGACTGGGCAACCGGATGCGGACCCGGCGCATATTAATCACCCGCAATGAAACAATAAGGAAAAGATAACTCCACACCGCCAAGTTTACCTGGAGGGTGGTTTGGTCCACTTTGACGTGGCGGTTCCACAAAGCTAACGCGTTACAGGTGACGATGGTGGCAACAAGGAGGAACTCAAGCGCTACCCGCACGGTGTCGCCCACGCCTTTGAACACTAGTTTAGTGATCTCGTGGTCGACCTGGCCGAGCTGGTCCAAACTGTAGTGCTGGTGGCGCAACTTAGCGCCGGCACTCGCGGATGAATTGGTCACGGGTTCATTGGCTTCGGTCTGAGTATGAGTGGCAGCAAGCGAGTCGTCGCCGTCGAGGACGATGCGATGGCGCCGGGCCATTTGCACCAGCTTCACCACCAACACCGCCGCCAGCGCCGCTCCCACGGCGGCGGCGGGGTACACCGCTAGCCGGTGGCGCCAACATAGCAGAAGATCATCGTAGTCCCACACTGGACAGGACGCCATTCAGCAATGAGTAAATTAAAAAACTAGGTAAAAGGTATTAACCGTGGGGCGCGGAAAAAGCGATAGCGGCCTCCTTAAGTGCGGGTGCCAGACGCTCGGCGTGCCGGATGCGCTCGCCCACGATGACGTCGCCGCGATGCCTTAGCGAGGGCTCTAGAG